GCTTTATCATATAACAACACTGTAACACGACTTGAAAACATTGCTTGTGGGGTCCCACAAGGATCAATTCTTGGTCCATTGTTATTCCTCGCTTCTACTTATCTTCTATCATATTTAACTTTGTCCTTTTTGCTGATGATACGCAAGTATTCTTTAGCCACACAAACACCAGCCTATTATTTAACACTGTTAATCAAGTACACGCTAGTAAATAAAATTTACATAGAAGTAATACACACCAGTAAATAAAGTTTACATAGAAGTCTTACGTATTACTCTACTAGGTTGATTAGAAGGAAAGTTGAAAGAAAAATACGGCGATAAAGATGTTGTAATTTACTTTTATCCGTACTTCCCCAGACGATGATTGCATAATTTATATAGTTCAGGTTGATATTTTGCCATTTTCTTTGAGCCTCTGACTGTTTATTACTTGTACATTTGTAATTATATTTTATTTTTGGTGAAAGGAAATTGTAATTATATAAACAGTATATATATATATAACTGTATATATATATATATATATATATATATATATATATATATATATATATATTATATATATATATATATATATATATATATATATATATATATATATATATATATATATATATATATATATATAACTGTATATATATATATATATATATATATATATATATATATATATATATATATATATACATACATACATACGTACGTACATACATACCCACATTAGGGCAATGTGAATCTTCAAAATTTCGAATTGAATCAGAAAAGTGATATGATTTTCAAAAAAAAAAGATTCAAGTTATTGAGTATTTACTTATTTTCTTTTTGTTGTATTATTTTTTAATAACGAGGCACTTTTGCGCTTTCAAAAAATACTTTCTTTATTCTTACCAATTGTTAAAAATTGTTTTTAATTGTTAAAAATCGTTACCAATTGTTTAAAAGGTTAATTACTACATGAAGCACCAAAAAAGAGTTTTTACTATTATTTTTTTTCTTTTGAAATATATAATATTAAGAATTATTTTAACTCATATACCTTAAATTGTTGATTTGATTCTTGATTTGATTTTCGAATCAAAACCTGCTTGATTTGAGATACAAAAAAAAGTCGTGTTTTTCAAAAGGAATCGCCTTTATAAACTAAATTGAAAATTAAAAATAAATTAAAAAGGTTTAAAAGGGGGTAAAAATACCTAACAAACTAACTATAAATATCTATTTAATTTTGAGAAAAGACGTTGTCAGTAGAATTTAAAATTTTGAGTTATAGGCATTAAAAACTTGTGTCAGAGAAAGAACGATAGTTTCCTTCCGTGACACAAGTTTTGATGGTTATAACAAAAAAGTTATTATTCCACATGCAATATCTTTACCTGAAATTAAATAATTCTTTATAGGTAGCATGTTAGGTATTATTTCCCCCTTCTAAATGTTCTTTTTTTTGAATTTCCAATTTAGTTTATAAAGGTCATTTCTTTAAAAAAAAAAGCCTTTTTTCTGGAGCTCTAGACAGAAATAGAGGCAGAAAAGAAAGAGCAGAAAAAAAGTCCATCTAAAAAAACAGTTTAATAAAAAATTGTAGCTATACTGCCCAATCATTGACATTAAAACCTTTATCTGGATTATCATTATCATGATTTGAATGCTTTTTTTTTGATGAATCTGACAAAGTATAATGTTCTCAATGTCTTGCATGATCTGTTTTATATGTTATATTTTATATTAATTGTATATTTGACAATTTTATAAGCTTTACAAGTATTTATGTTAATAATATTAAATTTTATGCATTTATTTTTTATATAGATTTTAATGCAAATTTATTAACTTGTAAATTATTAGCAAAAAATATATTATATGAATTCAATAATTGTTTTTTGTTTTTAACTTATGTCTATTTTAACAAAAAGTAAAAAAAAATACATGACTGACAAACATAATAGATATAATAACTATTTTTATATAATTATATAAAATTTATATATATATATATATGCATATATATATATATATATATATATATATATATATATATATATATATATATATATATATATATATATATATATATATATATTATATATATATATATATATATGTATATATATATATATATATATATATATAATAATTAAAATAGTTATATATATATATATATATATATATATATATATATATAAATATATATGCATATATATATGATAGGTAAAATAATTAAAAATTATTGAAAAAAGTAGTTTATTTGGACAATTTTGTATAGTGGGCGTTTAGTGCAACATTCGCTGATTGCCAGCGTTGGCTCTAAATTGAATCAATGCTAGCTTGCCGCTAGCAAAACGTTGCTGGGCCAGCACTGGCTTGCGTATACTGGCCCTTTGAAAAACCAATGAGCAACCCGGCACTGGCGTGCCAGGCCTGGTACAGCTCGGCAGCCAAGCCTGGTTCGCTATTGGGCCAAATAGTGTCTGCATACTGGGGCATTAAAGACATTAAAGAAAATTTGTATATTTCGGTATGGTGACGTGATCAATATATGACGAATTCGGTTGTGTCTGCTGTCGATATGTATAAGTAGGGCCAAAACCTTTAATTACATTTATTAGATCTAATTGATTTGTTTTTAAAAATTCAGATGACTGCGCAGAATAATTATTTCTTTTGGAATTTGATATTTCAAATAATTCATATATTTTGTGTGAAAAAGATTGGAAGCCACTGGCTACAATTATTATAATATCATTATTATATTATTGTATTGTTATATTATAAAATATATTTTATGTATGTTTTGCTTTTATTAAAAAAAAATATATACCACTGCAACTTTAGGTCTTTAAACTAGGTAATTTCTCTAAAAAATACTGAGTATTTTAAGCAGGCAATTAGACACATTACACGAAAATGGTATCTTCAAACAAATTTAAAAAGAAGCGTTTCTTTAATTGTTTTCCAAACATAAATGGAATCGGTTTCTAGCTAAAATATCTTACAATAAGAAAAAATAAATATTTATTTTTCAACATCAAAATTTAGCGCTAAAAATTCTTTAACGTGTAGTTATAAAACTTTAATATAAAAAAACAATTTAAAAAAGCGTTTTGATTAGATAAGAGCCGCATATTACTGCAAATAAAGTTACAATTATCCTGCTTTCTGTTTCACCACATCAGATCAATTTAAAAAGTTCAAAGCGATTTGAGCTTTAATACTCTACATCTTACAATCTCTCGGTATGCTCTTGTTACCTAGAAGCTAGTATTAACCGAATCTACTCTATATCTGAATCCCAGGTTGAGCCTTAATATATATCATTTAAGAAGAAGGAACCACAGTATCGTGCTACTTATATTTAAACTTTTCTTGTTTGGGTATGTCTGTATTTAAACAAAAATCAAAAATTTTTGCTCATTGTTTGAAGAGCTTTAGAATTTAACTTTTGTTATTTAATTACATATTCTACTTACCTATCTAGAGGGTAAAAGGCAATATAAATTAAGAATAAAGTTGTAAAATACATAAAAATCAAAAAGTTTTGCTCATTGTTTGAAGAGCTTTAGAATTTAACTTTTGTTATTTAATTACATATTCTACTTACCTATCTAGAGGGTAAAAGGCAATATAAATTAAGAATAAAGTTGTAAAATACATAAAAATCAAAAAGTTTTGCTCATTGTTTGAAGAGCTTTAGAATTTAACTTTTGTTATTTAATTACATATTCTACTTACCTATCTAGAGGGTAAAAGGCAATATAAATTAAGAATAAAGTTGTAAAATACATGAAAAATTAGCTGAATTTTATAATAGAGGTAATTTTTATGGTCTTATTTATTGGTAATTTTATGGTCTTCATATTTATTGTAATTTTTATGGTCTAGACGGATATTAATATTATTGGTATGACTTACAAAAAGAGAACTCTTTAATATTGAAAATAGTTTTGATAAAACCTTTTCGCCATTATTTAAAAAAAAACCAATAATCGGACTTCATTAAGTATGGTTAAAAAAATTGATTTCATCCAATAAAAACTTTTGAGCAGATGATGCATTCATGCCCAAACAATCATAATTGACTTTTTTTTGTTAGAGCAGATAACAGTTAATTAGCTGAATAAACCAGTCTTTTTGTTAGTGGAGTTATTCTTACAGTAAAGATATGAAATTAAGTGGGCATATAGATTAACATATATAAAAAGTGGGCATAGAGATTAACATATATAAAAAGCGGGCATAGAGATTAACATATATATAATAAGTGGGCATATAGATTAACATATATAAAAAGTGGGCATAGAGATTAACATATATAAAAAGCTGGCATAGAGATTAACATATATAATAAGTGGGCATATAGATTAACATATATAAAAAGTGGGCATAGAGACTAACATAGATAAAAAGTGGGCATATAGATTAACATATATAAAAAGTGGGCATATAGGTTAACATATATAAAAAGTGGGCATACAAATTAACATATATAAAATTTGTAAAAAGTATTAAAATCCTTTATAAACTAAATAGCATTTTAATGAGACACCGGCCATTCGAATTTTGAGTGGTATTCTTCTGTTATTTTCCGGTTGTTATTCTTCTAGTAGAACAGTTCTTTTTTTCCTACGTAACTATTAAAATCATACAAGAACTTTATCCAGATTTTCATGTTACTTTCAGTAGTGGAATCACTTTCAGTTTCAGTTTCTCTTTTCTTTTAGGACATTAGGATTGAATATAAATATCAAATATCAAATATTGGCAATTAATGCATTTAATTTTGTGGAGCATTTTTATGGAACAAAATAGTTTTGAAAGATTTCGATTTTACTCGTGAATGTTTATTTTTTAAAATATATAAGATATATTTGTTTCGTAAGTTTTATTTCATTGTTAATTAACTTTAATAATTTTTTTTTTCAGTAAAATTTAAACTCATAATAAAAAAGTGAAATTTTAGGATCACAAGTTTTGTTTTTTTAATTTATTTAATTATTTATTTAATTAATTTTAAAAAAATTCAACAAAAGCTGCTATATTTACCATAATAACCTTCATGTGAACTGGATAGTCAACAGAAATATAAATAAGGCTGTTGTCACCGCGAAGTAACGCAACTTGTTAACTCACCTTAGAGGAGTCTACAAGTTATCTCTATTTAGTTCGAAGAATTGTTTAAATTCAAACATTTTATTAGGCCATTAATATTGGAACAATTAACCAGGTAATTATTTTTACACACTTTTAAAGTATAAAAAATGATTATCTTTCTTATTTAATAATAAAATTTCTATATTTTAATAATAACAAATTTTCAATTTGAAATAAGAAATTAGATATGCAAAGTGAGACTTTAAGATTTCTTTGCTTTGATTTTAACTTTAGTTCTGGGTTAATAAGTTAAAGTCTTGAATTAGGCTAGTTCTGCCTGATTCAGTTGATGGGTTAGGTTGTGTTTTATATCAAAATATTTGTCGTGCAAACTAAAAAGATTGTTGGGTTCTCCTTTATCTATACTTTCTTCAGTTTCATTCTAAATTATTTTCTCTTTTAGAGTTACATGGTAAAGCAAGTTTCTCGCATTATTGTTTCATTTGAAAATGACTTTAATTTTTTGGAATAAATCTAGTATACTTATTAAAATTGCGATCGAGGATTGCTCTCTTAAAAGTTGACTGAATAAGTTTTTAATAACTGTTACAAATATCAAGAAGTAATCACCACAAAAAATACCATCTAGATAAAGGAACCGTGTTTTGAATACCTCGACAGTAGGTACAAATAACAAAATTTTAGATAATCTCTACTATTTGTTTAAACCTTCTTAAAAACGTTTTTGTGGCAAGGAACATATTATTTCTGTCGAGGATTTGTTTTTTTGTTTGTTTGTTTTTTTTTGTAATGTTTTTGGCGGATGTAAAAAAAAGTAACAATATTTTAAATAAAGGAACGTGAATAAATATTATACTTAAATATATTGTAAATCCGAGAAAAATACTACTAACTCTAATCTAGACATTTATTAATTTAATTCTAATGCAGAAATTTGTTAATAGTTGTTTCAAAAAACATAATATCAAAAACAACTATAAGCCAACTATAAATCATTAAGCATTATTTACCAATATTTCGAAATATTCATCTTTTATTCACAATCTTTCGATTGCTAATGACGTTTTAAAACAACATTATTGGATAGTTTTTCAAAAATGTGAAATGCGATTGGTTAACTTTAAATTATGATGATTACGCGGTATTTTATTCAAAAATTACGTTATTCTTTGAAAAAAAGCATATTTTCCATTCGTTCTTTCTGTAGCTATCAGTGCCGCCAAGAGGAAGGGGGGGGGGAGCCGAAAGGAACAGTTTGTCCCGGACGGAAGATGGCAGATATGCAAGGGGTGTCAAATGAAAAAAAGGTACTTAAAAAAAAAAAGCCCTTTATCTATAATATAGGGAAATTTTGATAAAAAAGAGCGCCGATCAGGATTGTTGTTCCAGGCAATAAAAATGTCTGGAACAGCAATATGATTTTATTGTCATAAAAATCGTAAAAGTACAAAAAGTTTAAGCTTTATTTGTAAAAAAGTTTGTGCATCATAAAATGTTAATATAGGCTTTCGAATAGTAGCTGTTTGATTTTGTTTATTCTCTTTGAAATGTTTTCGTTTTATTTTCTGTCTTTCTGTATTTTTTCGAAAATACAAACTAAAAACATTGTTGCTTTTTTTCAAAACATGTACGGTTAAACATATAAAAAATGTATATATAGTACAATATTAAAACTAACATGTTATTAAAATAAAATAAAATTTTAGCACTTGCTAATAGGAAGATCAAAAATTTTTAATATAAGGATTGCCAAAATTTTATTTTAATTTTTCTAAACCATTCTAATTCCAATATGTGCGGGATTTTAATTCCATTTTTAAGTACACTTGATTTAATTACAAATATGTGTGTGATTTACAAAAGTTTTTTTTACGGTTTAATTAATGAAATTATCAAAATTAAATTACAAATTTACTTAATGTCCGTTTATTTTATAGGCCTCGTGAATAAAGAAGAGCAGTTGCTTTTACTCAGTAATTGGTCATCTTTACGTGAATAACTTGAGAAATTTTTCTAAAATTTTTATTCAAGAAAAGCTAAGCATTTACTCAGCGATTTTTGGAGAAAATTGCTTAACTTTACGTGAATTAAACTTTTAGCAATTTTCCTTAATTTTTATTCACATAAAGCTTAACAATTACTCCAAAAATGCTGAATAAAAGCAATTGCTTTTTTTTATTCACCTGGCCTAATCAAGTTATTCAAATACATAGGTTTAATAAATAAACTTTAGTTATTGTTATTTAAAGTAGAAATTATTTTTGGAATAGGAAGATAATATTCGAGATTCAAATGACTCATTATTAATTAATGAAACATCTGAAGTTGAAATTAAGCATCAAATTCTTGGACTCGTTATAACAAAACTCAATAAAATTGTAAAAATGTTGAAAAGGTCCCCAAACAAAAATGAAAAGCATTTACAAAAGTACGTAAACCGTGAGTTTGGAAAGGTCATCCATTTAATCATGGGTTGTAAAACCCGATTTATGATTTTTTAATTTCAACTTTAAAAACCGGTCTAGCATAACCAGCTTGGTGAGCAACTTAATGGCTTTTTTTTTTTTTTTTTTCCAGAATAATATGTACAAGGTAAATTTACATTGAATATATTACTGGTAGGACTTCCAGAAGATTAGACGATCATATCATGAAGCCCTTTACAATCTATATCACGAATTAAAATAAATAAATTTACAATTATTTAAAACATTTTTTAAATGCGTTTATATACTATAATACTCTTTAGATGTTAAGCAAGTTTTAACAATATTTTATAATATATGTGAATATATATTTATTAGGGTGCATCCAGTGCCCCAACATTTTGAAAATTTTGTCAAAAGTGTTTGTCCCCAATTTAATTCTGTTACTCTTACCAAAACAACATTTTTGATGCAGTTTCAGAAAATTTAAACGTTATTTAGGTGGTCCACCAAGCAAACAAAGTTTTGGATATAATCGGAAAATTAGTTATATTTAAAATTAATTAACATGTTCTAAAACTACGTTAAATAAGCTTTTTAATTAAACAAATTTAGTTAAACAAAGCTCATTTATTGAGCTAAAACACTTATTATGATAAGCAATTACACAGCAAACAGTGAGGCAAACAAATTAAGAATAATTGTATAAACTTGAGTTTGAACAAAAGGCGGTCAAACGTTAATGAAAACAGTGTCAGTCAGTCATTCGATTCATTTCTTGCGTTTTCTAATATCTGGCCGCATTTTCCGGTCTTTCTCAACAACCTACAAGACATTTTAATAATATTCTTCACACTTGGCTGTTGATATGAAGTCTGAGCTGAGCTTCACCCCTCTCTCCGCACTGTCATTCACCACATTCAATGCTTGAATGTTAATCATCGAAACCTAATATGAAGCGCAACTTGGCCAGTTCACAACGTTCTCAGTCAGAAACTCGGAGTCAAGCTGCAGGATGTGAAACAAGAATCACGAATTAATTCTCACCAGATCAGCAAGCGTTGTTGATAATGTAATTGATTCAGAAAAATCTGGCTTCCCAAATCCTGTACCAAAACGGTGCTTTGGTTGAAACATAACAATATCTGGTTTGATTGCCAGAAGACGGTCAGCAAGAGCTCTCTGCTTGGTAGGTGGAACTTTATTGCTCCAAAGTGCAAGAGGCACCATTTCTTCGGTTAAATACCATAGATGTCGTTTAAACGCTCTCAACGCACTCTCTGATATATTAGGGTGTACATCTGCATACATCAACAATGATCGGAATAGCATGAGATCAGTCAATGGCACATTTGTAGCTGAACTGCACGTTATCCACCAGACGCTATATATCAGGGTAGAGAAGTTGACAAAATCTCTCACTCTGGCAGTTTGTGCTTTTGTAGCTATTGTGCCGATTGAAAGATCACGAATCTGTTCTTCAAATAGACAGATTTTAATTGAATATATGAGTTTCGCCATCCATCGGGCTTTGTGTAGTGCTCCAGGGCGCTTAAAGGTCAGTGTTTGTTCTTCTTTTTCTCAATCAAGAAAAATAGTGCACAACTCGACAAATTCCAGATAGTCATCTCTACGAAAAACTAGTTCCGAATGAGCAAGTTTCATAACATTTTCTCTACAACGGTCAGTGAACGTTTTAGCTTTTTCAGAAAAAGAGGTGGATTCAAACCTTGACAGTCGATCAGCTAGACGCGATTGAAATAGCTCAAAGTGTTTACAAAATCTTGTAAACAGAGTGGCGTCTGGCAATTTTGAAACTTAGATTTGGAGGTCGGAAAACACATGAGTTAAAATTGTCTCTCCAACATGATGTCGACACCAGACCTAGGATGAGCGCCGCTCAAATTGAACTCGCTCATGAGCGGCGCTCAAAACTTCTGAGCGAAGCGTGAGCGCGAGCGACGTCAAATTTAGATGAACGTGAGCGCGAGCAAACGCTTTTTTGATAGCGCTAAAAAAATTACGCTCATTCTGCGCCTTCTAGCGGCCAAATATTGAACTAGTTAACATGGAGTTAACTCCATGTTGAAATGCGCCATCTAGCGGTCAAATATTTAACTTTATATTAAAAACAGCACATGTATGTAACCAGCCAGAGAAACTTCTTAATTTTAATACTGCAGTTAACGTTTGGCGTTGTTTCACTTTCATTTTTTAAAGTAGTTAGTTTATAAACTTTTCTGAATTTCAAAAAACGCGTTCTGAAAAAAACGCGATTATTTACGAAAAATCAAACAGTCAAAAATGCGAAGATATATAAACTTTTTGGAATTCAACTATTAATTATTCCTTTAAAAATATATAATGAAATTATAATAAAAATATTAAGATCCAGAAGTAAGTATAGAAAGTATATATTACATATTCTAAATATATATTTATATTTTTTATTTAAAGTGTAGAATTATTTTTTTTTTTTTTAAAGAAGTTTTGTTTTTATTGAGTTTATATTTTATTGTTTTGCTTTTTATTTTTTTCTTGCCAGAAACGCACTAAGGTAAAATTTGTAACGGCTTTTACTTCTTTTATTCGATCAGCTATTAAAACTCACCTTTAACATAAGTAGTTTAACATAAATTACCTAATGTTATTAAATAAAAGAGCTACTGTATGTGATAAACTTCTG